TATATATATATATATATATCACAAATGCCAGCCCCATTTGGCGATTCCGGTTCATGTCATCATATATGCTAAACACGCCCTACCATTTGGCGATTCATCACACATCTCAAGCACGCCCCCTCATTGGGCTATTCCGGCCCATCATGTATCTTCAACATGCCCCTCATTTGGCGATTCCGGTTCATCATGGAGCGTAAACGCGACTCCTCATTTGGCGATTCCGGTTCATCATATTTTTAAACATGTCCCCCCAAATGCCCAAATGGTGATTCCTGTTGCTCATGTACCTTCAGCATGCCCCTGCGTTTGGCGATTCCAGTTCATCATAAATTATATCTGAAACATGCGCCCTCATGTGGCGATCTCATTCATCATCATTCATCATAGATCTTACAGGCGCCCCCTCATTTATAAGCATGCCCCCGCATTTGGCGATTCATCGTAATCATCTGTCTTAAACTCTTAAGCGGACGAGGCAAGGACGAGGAGTGGGCGGGAGTAATAGCTGACAAAATCTAACAACCCCACACCTAGGGTGGGGAACCAAAGTAATTCCTAGAAAAAACAGAATTTCCAATTGAAGCATCACACATGCAAGACTTCCCTTCCTGAGCCTCGCACGAGGACTCGTCGCAGGGCCTGTCCATGGGGAACTGCAAGGAGGACCTGAAAGCAGATCTGAGCATCTTCTTGGAGCATACTCGCTGCACTATCCTCATCTACATCTGCAAGCCACGCTCTCAGCCTCCATGACAGTTTTCGAGACCTTGCGGCCATGCATTCGGCGGCCTGGCCTTGCACCTTGAAATTTCTGAAAATGCGAGCAGCCGGCCGTGCCGGTGGGGTCTTCCTTAGAAGACCTGCTGGAAGAGCAGCGCTCTTCAAGCAGGACTTCCAAGCGACCACGCCGGTACAAGCCTCTTGCCGTACACGAGCCGGCCTTGCAAAAGAGACCACAGCCTGACTGGCATCCACAAAGACGATGGGCGTTCCCGTCAAAGGCCTCTAAACCTAAACACTGCTTTTGCCCCAAACCCTGTTCAAGTTGGTGTCTGTGCTATGTTGAAGTCTTCTTAGTTGAATCGCCGTGTCTCGCATGTCTCGCCCAAGGCAGCCAGTGGTCACACTCAAACGTTCATCACGTTCGTTAAAGGCATGCACTTAGCCCCAGAGCAAGCATGAGCACCCAACCAATCGAACCTGACCACGCAGGAGGATGAAACAAGATCTCCCTTATGTGCAGAGGAAGGGATACATTGCGTGACGTCAGTCATAGGATTTCGACGTGCACTTGCCCTTGGTTCCGCAAGCGGCATTCACTTACTGGCAGTATGCAGCCCTGAAGTGACATTCAGGTATCGGCTCAGGGGTCAAAGTCTACCCCTGCATTTTGCATATTTTAGGAGCGCCTCTTCGATTAAGGAACGCTTCCTCGACGACATCGCTATCAGCTCGCACATCACTTAGAGGCGTTGCTGTAATTAAAACCCCTGAAAGATACAACAACCCGTTTCCCTTAACAAAACCAAAAGAAACAAAACCAAAAAAACAAACAAACAACAAAAGACAAAATACACCAAAACAAACAAAACCAAAAAACACACAAACACAAGAAAAAAACATTATTTCAGAACTCTTCAATTTGTGTATATTTCTAGTTCTTTTTGGAGGAGTACCGGAATAATGTTGTTTTGTTGTTGCTTTTATTTTGTTTGGTTTTGTTTTTTGGTTGTGTTGATTTGGGTATTTTTGGTTTTGGTATTTTGGTTTTGTTGAGGGAAGGGGTTGTTCTGTTGTAGGGCTTTTAAGTACAGCAGCGCCCCTAAGCGTAAGAGTTGACAGCGATGTCGTCGAAGAGGCATACCTGAACTGCCGGACACGCAGCCGGAGAGTTTACATTGTACGGCAAACTCGCGCCATGTCGTGTGCCTGTTTAGCTTCAACTGTAGTATTCGAAGATGACACAGATCTAAAGATCTATCGCTTTAACTTGTATTCTCTAGAACAACTTCAGTGCAAAATGCAATCATCCTTCGCCCATTCTATATGTTGCACGAGAAGAAAACCATGTGGGAATTAGACAACACATGTACAGATACGTTTAAAAATTCTTGTAGGATAGTATTGCTGGAGCAACGATTGCAAAGCTGTTTAGAAGCACTCCGTGCTATGTATGTTTCGAAATCTTAACAAGTGTTATCCCTTCAGTTTCATGTGCCAGCTTCTTCCTGAACATGTATAACATAATGCCCTACATTCCAGTACAAGTGGTTGCAGTTGCTATGAGCATTCGGCTGTAGCCTTTTGACGTGGCCAGACCTACCAACACACTCACTCTTATTCTAAAGGTTTTAGGACATCAAGCAGAATGTACAGTTCAGAATTTAAATATATATTTATCAAGTAGACTACCTCAGTGTTATGATTCAGTGCTGAATTTCCAGGGTATGTTAGCTGCTACAGATTGACTACCTCCAGTGTTATGATTCAGTGTTGAATTTCCAGGGTATGTTAGCTGCTACAGGTTTGGCTTGAGATTCGTCGTTGCCATTACCTGATACGGTTTTACCTTGGAAGCGTACATGGTTGAATAGCAGCCAAAACAGCGATAGTTAAGTTTCGTGATGGAGTGCTGTGCCACTTATATAACACTCACGAACACACAGAAGGTTATATTTATAATAACTGACAGTCTTTTACTACATTGAAGGATAATGACATACTGACATGGATTACTGACTCTAGAAACAACAGTTATTATATTGGTAACTAGATAATTGGGCAGACTGACTCCTCGGAGCAAGTTAAGCACGGCACTTGCTGAGCTAAAAATAGTCAGACTTAAGTATGCTAACAAGATAAAAAGTTTACCGTCTGCCAATCAATAGAAATTTACAGCATATATGTTCAAGTAGTGTCCGTAGGGATAAGGACACACCTAAAAGAAAACTGGTTTTATGAGCAGTAGAAACAATACATATTATTTTCACAACTACGTAGATAATTAACCGGGTAGACTAAACCTTGGACCTGTTTAGGCGGAGTGTTTGTTAACTAATACCAAATCAAACAAAATATGATGATAATATAGTGCATCATAGTGCACTTAGCAGTCTGTACAATAAGTGAACCGAACTGGTGATGAGTTTACAATGATTAACAACTAGTCACGTTGCTGCCCTGACATCACACATTCATGCATAGACTGCTAGCTACATGGACATGAAATATATGATTTCGATACCTCAGTATATAGGTCGAGAGATTGAACCCTCGAGTCCTCGAGTACATTCACAGTACTCCGTCTAATATCATTATCTGAATGAAAACTGTACTTAGATAAGAAACGAATTTTAGGGAAGCTTAAAACGAGTCGTGAATTTCCATGTTGCAACTTCCTCATTATTTTCCTTATGATCCATACACACGTAATCCCAAATATGAAAAATGCAGGGGTAGACTTCGACCCTCAACCCAGGTCTCACACAGAGATTCGCAAAGCCATCATGGCATACTGACAAGCTCGCAATCGTGCCTCAGCCGCAGTCCGGACTCCTCGCGATCCGGGGTTGAAAATTGGGACGCGGCGCGAGTTAGTGCAGGTCACATTGCAGCAACAGTGAACACTGCCGTCCTGGCGCTCCACGAGCGTTTCTTCCAGGAGCTTCCTGCCAGTGGCGGTGCGGGGCATCCTGGGCGCATGCACGACGGGAACGGGCAGACTCGGGCTTATTAGGCTGCCACATTGAGGTGCAGGCAGCAGCCTCCGCAAAGCAAAGGGCGATGATGTTGTGTACCTGCTGTGTTCAACATGACCTTGGGGCGTGACATTATCAAAACAAGAAACCAGTTAACCAGACAGCACCGACTCTATCACAAGCTTCGCAGCGTCTCATGAGACATCGCAGCGGTCGCATGTTGAAGTCCGGATCGGCAGCGAAAGCTATTCCTTCCAGCCTTCTCTCTTGACATACACATGTCACCGTCATGCAGGCCGAACGCTCTCCATTGCTATCGAGTTGCGTCACGAAGGAACGCATCACAAGCACATAGTAAGACCTGTGCACAAAGATGCAAAAAAAGGTTGCCGGGCGGAGGAAGTGCTCAGGTCTTCACGGCAAAGTGAAGTAGTAGCCTGCTGGATACTGACTGCAGCGAGCCTCGTTCTTGATAGCTCGGGCTTAAACTTGGAATCCGACGGAAGGCCAAGTTGCTCAGCTCCTCATACAGCCTCAGCTAACCGAAGCACGGTCAGCCTCAGCTTTCGCTTGGACATCCGATCAAGGAATGAGCTGTCCAAAGGCACGTCGGCGGTCAACGCCCATGCCATCCTCAAGTCTTCCAGTTCATCCGATCTTTTGCGGGAGTCGCCAGGCTAAACACCAGGCCTGCACCAGTCGCTTTGCATCTCCCTGCCCTCCCTGCAAAGCCTCCTCCAGTGCTGCTGCAAAGGGCCTGGCAGCACAGGCCGTAGATGCGTGAAGCTCTGTGTTGCGGGGAAGCGAGGAAGGAATGCTGCTCTTCTCCCGGTCGCTTCAAATCCTCGTCATCTTCTCGTTCGGAACTAAGAATGCCCATTCCTCGAAAGCACGGCCTCAAACAGCAGACTCAACAAGCGAAGAAAACACGCGCTGACAAAGATGAAAAAGCAGATGAGGTCTCGGCACCAGTGCTTGGTAATCTTCCGCCAACAGGCTGAGTATTGCGCAGGCCATGCTCTCCTGTTACACTCTGCTACATGGGCCCCCGTGGCTGAACGTACCCAAGGCCTGATGAACCGCTGTCATCTGTGCCACCAAGCCGAAGTCGATCAAGCCGAGGCGCCCGTCATCTAGAAGCATCCTCGGAATATCTCGAGAACTCAGACCCAGACTGCCACCGAATCCCAGAAAAGTGAAGTGAATGTATTTGCCGAGACGCATGTTGCCCTCATGTGGGTCACAATGCACGAAACCGGCATCCATTAATTGCCTCTCGAGTTGGGACCAACCGTTTGGCTTGCTTATGCTTGCATGAGATTGCATGGTCTCCAGCTCCAAACAAGCAAGGATGGCAACGACAAGCACGGCCTAAGCGGCACTCGGAAATTTGCAATCCAGACACATCGGTCACCTAACGCCGCTGCGAGCTCGCACAGGCAGGAACCCTGCAAGGTTCACCAGGCGCAGCTTCTGTTGTGCGCTCAAGTCTCGAGGCTTGCGACCATGCAACCATGTGGTCGTCAGCACCTCGTGCACATCTGCCACATGACATCTACCACTGCTCAGAGCCTATCTCTCGCAAGGCCACTGCCCGAGTACTTGTCCGGGACCAAACAACCTGCACCCAAAAAGCAGTGACTTGTCAGGGTCTGCACTTCCGTTGAATGCATGCGGGGGAAGGCTGCCTGCCTCAGGCACGACCACGTCAGGACATTTTTCGCCATAGAGACTCTGAAATAGTTCAGAATGCCTGGCCTGGCAGACGGTGTGGATTATGCCTTACCGGCCCTTACCGCTTACAAGCAGAAGTGTGGTGCCTCTTGCACAAAATCAAGCTCGGCAAAAAGCCCATCTCCGACCTCGTCCAAGACCGACCTTGGGATGCACGGTGACGTCACAGACACCATCACTGAGAGTTTGATCCCTCTTTTTGCCGAAATCAAGCACCTATAGCAGTAATCTTGCCGCTGCTTCTTATGAGCATTCTGTCTCAAAGCTTGGGTGCGGGTCGTGCCTAGTCTGGGGAGCATACTGAGCGATCTCAGAACTCCTTGTAGCACCGAGTACTGCCTTGGCACCAAGGTGATGGGAGGTCGGACGGGTCAGTCGACATGATAGGCATGACTGAAAGAGTTTCAGATTTCCTGTCGCGAGTACTCTGTATGCGTTGTTGATATCACCGGGGTTGCGCACTTGGGGTCTATGGCAGATGGGGACCCCCAAGAAGTGGAGGGGGGGAGTGCGGTGGGTGGGAGTATGAAACAGATACCCGGACCACGCCACACCACACACACCACTTAGAAAAGTGTTTTCTGCACTCGCGGACAGATTCACCTGAAGTACATACGCTCCGCTAGCTGTTGGTGCACAGGCTGTTCCGCTACGGTGTGTGATCAAACATGGGGTCGGGCCATCATGCATGTCAGATTGCAGCAACAGTGCAGGCTTAGTTTCATGGTTCGGCCAATGATGGAAACAACAGCTTTCGGGCGGCCACTTTGGCAGGTACGTCAGCCCGGCGTCCCGGACTGATATCAGTGCCTAGTCAGAGCCACTTCGTTGGGCAATCACTCTGACTGGGCAAATTGCCCCCCCGCAATGAAATAAACCTGTCGGCAACGGCAAAACATCTGCGAGTGTGGATTGTGAATCCCTTACTTCATGTACGAAAGGAGTTCACACACGTCGCCCCAAGTTGGGGCGCGTGCAGCCTGAATGACTGTAAACTGCTTTGTAACGGTCTTGTATCTGAGTTGAGGTCGCCTTGCGTGGTCGGCAACCTTTTTTAACCTGCGCTGTCTGAAGTCACTGTCCGAAGCTACACGTACAAAATGAACTGGCTGCAGTGTATTCGTAGTGGTCACCGGGTCGAGGTCGCACAGTCGACGTCTGCCTTGCTCCAAGAAGAATGCTTGTGGCTCTGGCTGTTGGTGTTGGTGTTGGTGTTGGTGTTGGTGTTGGTGTTGGTGTTTGGTGTTGGTGTTGGTGTTGGTGTTGGTGTTGGTGTTTTGGTGTTGGTGTTGGTGTTGGTGTTGGTGTTTTGGTGTTGGTGTTTTGGTGTTGGTGTTGGTGTTGGTGTTGGTGTTGGTGTTGGTGTTTTGGTGTTGGTGTTGGTGTTGGTATTGGTATTGGTGTTGGTGTTGGTGTTGGTGTTGGTGTTGGTGTTGGTGTGGGTGTGGGTGTGGGTGTGGGTGTGGGTGTGGGTGTGGGTGTTGTTGTTGTTGCTGCTATTGCTGTTGTTGTTGCTGTTGCTGTTGTCGTCGTCGTCGTCGTCGTCGTCGTCGTAATCGTCGTCGTCGTGATTGTTGTTGCTGCTGTTGGTGTTGCTGTTGTTGCTGTTGTTGTTGCTGTTGTTGTTGTTGTTGCTGCAGTTGTTTATGTTGTTGTTGTTGTTGTTGTTGTTGTTGTTGTTGTCGTTGTCGTTGTTGTTGTTGTTGTTGTTGTTGTTGTTGTTGTTATTGCTGCTGCTGCTGCTGCTGCTGCTGGTGGTGGTGGTGGTGGTGTCGTTGTGGTTGTCGTTGGCGTTATCGTTGTCGTTGTCGTGGTTGTCGTCGTTGTTGTTGTTGTTGTTGTTGCCTCTGTTGTCGTCGTCGTAGTCGCAGTCGTAGTGGCAGATTGGAACAAGAGCAGGAGCATTCCAAGAAGAGTCGATGACTTCCGGCTTTGAGCCAGGATTCTCACTGGTTTTCGGAACCTCTTACCGTAACGCTGTAAACTTCTCTGCGGATCAGGACCCTTCACGAGTGAAAACGAAACAGCCCGCTAGACCAAGCTGCCGCAAGATCTACATGTTCACAACGATCAACATCTAGATATCGGAGTGTGCTGAAAGTAAGGCGCCAATGAGCATATCGTCGAAGCAGTATCCTGACTATGAGGACCCCTGCCGGGGACTGCTTTCTGGCACCCCCATCTAATGTAGGGCCCTAAATAAATACCAATACTATTTTGGGGGGTTCCTTATTGTAATAACAGTATACTGGGCCCCAAAAGCCTCTTCTAATTAATAAGGCCCCGATATTCTCTTAACCCTAAACTCGAAACCCCAAACCCCCATAACCTTATATTATCTTAATTAATCCTAAGCTCTAAACCCCAAACCCCCATAACCTTGAAGCCCAGGTCGAGACGAGCAGCCCTCTCTTCGGCTTTTGGCGAGCAAACACTCAGCCAAAGGCTTCCAATGGCCACGCGTTTAGGGTTCTGCGCCCAAATTTCGCTTTCGGGTGCTGCTGAGCCTTAAACCCTAAACTCTAAGCTGCCATGATCAGGGTCTATAGAGTTCCGCGAATTATTTTGGGATGGTCATTTAGGTCGGAAACCCCGTGATTGAGTGGAATGGTCTTTGGCTTCTGTTCTATCTCTTGCTGGCGTGTAAGTGTAAGTGGTGGCACATTCTTTTGTCGTGCATGACCCCTAAACCCTGAACCCTAAAACCCTAAACACCCTAAGCACTGAACCCTAAACCCTAGATCCTAAGCACTGTGACTTGATGATTGGTGTTGTGGTCTCGGAGTTGGGGTGTGGGGGGTGGGGGGGGTGGGGGTTGGGTTGGTTTCTGCTCTGAGTTCTGTGTTTCGCCTTGGATCCGGCAGACATCGTACTTTCCCATTTCGGTAATTTACCTAAACAGTGGCTGTTTTTGGTCGATGCACGCTACAGTTTGCTGAGCGCAGGGTTATTTGCCTCAGAGTTAAACTATGTTGGTAAGGTCTGTACCATGTTCGTGCTGTTGCCTTGTAGGGTAGCCGGCTGCTTCTTGCATGCAACCTGAAGACTGCAGCAACAGCAGCAGCAGCAACAACACAGCAGCAGTTGTAGTATTCGTCGTCGTCATAGTAGCAAGACGAAGAAATAATAGTAGCAATTGTTGTTTTCGTAGTAGTAGCAGTACTAGCAGCAGTAGCAGCGGCAGCAGTAGCAGAGCAGTAGCAGGAGCAGTAGCAGGAGCAGCAGCAATCGTAGTACTTAAAGTAAGAGATGCCATATGCCTCAGGTTCCCTAACCACTAAGCCCTAAACCCTAAGAATCTCGCGCTTGAGCTTTCAACCCCGTATCCGTTGCAGCGCCTCAGGGTCCCGAATCAAGAATCCCATGCGCTTCTCCTCTGGAACCCTTAACTTAACCGCCCAAATAGTCCCAGGCCCTAGGCACTGTTACAGGGGATACTTTCCCAATTCTTAATAAGGATTCCTAATATAGAAACCCTACAGTCTGCTAAGTAGGCACTATGGACCCTTTGGGGGGTAAACCTGATTGACCTCGACTGCCCATGGCAGCGCCAGGCAAGATTTGATTGGATCGACGGCCGCCAAGTTGCTTTGATCTACAGCACCCAGGGCCATCACGTCAAGGCTCCCACCCACGAAGATAATGAGCCGGGATTGGTTGTCCCATGATGGTATTGTTCCTGTTTCCGCTAATTGGACTGTTGGCTGTTGATGTTATTGGTCGTTGTTGTGCTTGTGGTTGAGCCTTTGTCTGTTTGCTGTGTGTGTGTGTGTGTTGTTCCTGTGTTTGTTTGTTGGGTTGGTTGGTTGGCTGGTTGGTAGTTAGTCAACGTTGTTGCTTGTTTCTTTGTCTGTCTCTTTGTCTGGCTCGCTGCCTGGCTGGGTGGCTGGGTGGCTGGGTGGCTGGCTGGGTGGTTGGTTTGTCAGTGTATGTGTGTGTGTGTTTGCTTTGTTTGTTCTTTTGCTCGTTGTTCGGTTGCTTGCTTGCTGGCTGTTCGGCTGCCCGGCCGGCTGGACGTTTGGCTGGCGTCGCGTTGCTTTGCTGAGCTTTGCTTACCCTTGCTTCCCTCCTTGCGCTTCCTTGCTTGCTTGCTCTTTGCTTGGTTGGTTGGTAGGTGGATTGGTTGATCGATGGATTGCGCACACATGTATTTTCAGTTCACCTCGGGGTTTCGGGTCACAGCCCTCCAGGCCCAGAGGGAAACGAAGTCCCGAGTTTTCGATATCCTACAGGTAGGTTCAACCATGTTTTGGCTGCACTTCGTGGCGCATGAGGTCCTTCCGATGCTTTGCCTCGAAATGCCCTAAACTTAAACCCGAAACTCCTAAACCCTAACCCTAAACCGCTTCCTTATTAATTAACAGACTTTGAAGCAGACCATTCCTGCAGGTTAAGTCGTGGGGAAGTGATGAGAGCAACAGTGCCGAAGCTGCCGCTGGGTCGATGTTGAGGTTTGGGTCAAGAAGCTGAAAGTGCACAAGGCCCACGTGATCCACAGTGATGACAGTCACCCTAAACCCTCAAGTCACAACACCCTGAACCTAAAAGCCTAAACCCTAATCCGAAACCCTAAATCCTAAACCCTAAACCCAAAGTGATTGCGGTCAAACCAAGGGGGCAAGAGGTCCTGACGAAGAGCAATGTGCGACTTCTATGAGCATCGGCAACACGCACTTCCAGATCAAATTGAGGCCGTAGAGTTTATTAGGACTGAGGGTTTAGGGTTTAGGGTGTTTTGCAGCTAGCCGTCGACTCTTTAGAGAACGGTATAAATAGGTAAACAGGTGAGCACGTAGATGAGCGAGCCAGCAAGAGAGAGAGAGAGAGAGA